GACACATCTGTGGGGAATCACTATGCTGTATCATAAAATGCTTTGTAGTCATTTACCGATGACCTTAGAGATACTCATATACCATTTGTAGGGCCATCGAGTCCACAGTTTTGTCTTTAGAGCCAAAGAACTGTAGCACACAAAGTTTAGACACACAGCTTACATGCAATTGGAAGAAGAAAGAAAGAATTCCTTGGAATTCAGCAATAAGGTGACCGATGTAGAAAACCAAAAGTGAAAAAGTCAAGTGTTTACTCTGATATTTCATGTATGGTGCTCCTGTAGAAAATATTAGAGAAAGTATCTAGGTGATAGATGCATTTTATTAAAACTTTGTATTAGTAGGAAAGTAACACATGTGGTAGAGCAGAAAGAGCAGCTCTATCTGGGTGTTGTGGCACATGCCTGTAATTCCAGGACTTGGGTGGCTGAAGCAGGGATATCTCAAGTTCAAGGTCAGCCTGGCTACATAGTGACTTCTTCACTACAAAGCACAATACTCTTACCTGCCTCCTCAACCCCTCCTCCAAAACAAACAAAAAAAAAAACAAAAAAACAGCTCTAGTAGGACCTTGGGTAAGTTATTTTATGTCTCAGGCTGTATTTTCTTTATTTCTAAAAATCACTGGATTGGCCTCAGTAATTTTTTCAAAACTCAAGCACCACTGGATTATGTTAAAAACAGTCTTTTTTACTCTCTAAACAAACTATTTATTTCTTAAGATGGCTTTAATCTCATAACACCTCATTTTATGTAGGAGAAATTGCACAAAGATATTTAATGTCAGATTCATTTATTCCACAGTTCATCCTTCTAAAGGGTGACTATGATACTATTTGTTCAAAAAGAAGTGATTATAGAGACACAATAAAATAAAAAGATGAGTAGCAAGTGAATTAAGTTCATTTTATAGTTCGTTTTCTTTGCTTAAAAGATAATTGCCTCAGCATTCTCATTCTGCTTTGTCTATGTAGACTGGCTGCAATGCCTGATGTGACAACAGGCTGCAAGCTTTTTACAGCAGTAGGATCACTTTCTCTCACATGTAATTTAATCTTCAGTTTTTACCACACCATTTGGAAGTAACCTATTAGAGCAATGGTCCTCACAATGTGGTCCCTAGCCAAGTAGTATCAGCAACACTTGCAAAACGAATTGAAATGCAAATTCTTGGCTAGTGCTGCAGGTCCACCAAATCAAAACTGCTATGTGCAAGACCTAGTATTTGGTCTTTATGTAAGACTTCAAAGTTATTCTGATTCACATTGAAATTTCATAACCTCTAGCATAGCATTTAGAATCTAACTCTGCTTCTTACTTTGTGAACTTAAATCATTTAATATCCTTTGGAATCTGCCAATATACTAGGTGGTTGTAAGACACAAAAAATGAGGAAGTCCTATTGGCTCTGATTCCAAAAGGCATACGCAGTCCTTCTATTTCTTCTTCTCCAGTGGGGCCAGACCGTCAACATCTCTTACCTAGATATTAGCAGTGAGCTCCTCACAGGATGTTCTACTTTTGGCCTTGTTCCTCAGAAAGGTATTCATCACAGAGCAACCAGAGTGGACTTCTTCTAAGAGCATGATTTAGAGTGAGTCATTGCCCTGTTTAAAACCATCCAATGACGTCTCATGCACCCAGGCTAAAGTTTAAACTCTATTTGGCTTGTAATGTATTGCAGTTTGCCACCATCCTACGTTTCAAAGGTTTTGCCCTTACTATGACAGAGTTACACAATACTGACTTCCTTTTTGCATTTCAAACATGGTACGTAGTTTTATGCTTCAGGGCCTTTGCACTTGTTGCCTTTTGCCTAGAAAGTACTTCTCTATGAAAGTTTAGTTCATTTTTAGCCTTAAGGTTTCTGCTCAGAGAACAATTCTCACACAAGCTTTCCTTGACTACTTTAGCTTATTGAAGCTTTTCCTTTGCTTCTCTATCATATCAATCTAACTATTTTCTTCATGACTCATGGCAAAATATGAAATTTTCCAGTTTATTTATTTCTTAGTCATACCTTGTCAGCCAACTTTTACTGAAATATCAGGTCCTAGAGTGCAAGGATTTGTCTTGCAGTCCCAGTATGATCGTATAGTGCCTGATACACGTATGTGTTGAACACATAAACTTATTAAAGTCATTTTGTAAAACTTCTACTTTTAGTAACAAGATTCATAACATTCTACTTCCGAAAATAGATTTATTTTTAGGAAGCTTTTCATGATGAAACATTACTAAAAACAGATTAAGAATAGACCACACTGGCCAAGTATAGGTCATGGCACTCGCCTTGCCAAAAAAACAAAAACCAAAAACCAAAAGACCCAAAAACAGAAAAAAGGAAGATTGACTAGGGTAAAATGTTCTGTTCTTCACATACACCAAACACAAGGAACCCGTGCTAACCTAAAGACAAGCTCAGTAGGAACACACTAAACAGGAACCAGGAACAGGGACTTCTGTGGTGCTAACACAAAGAAATCAAGAACAAGGAAATCATGCGAGTAAGCCTTTGGAAAGCTGACTTCCATGCAAGAAGGAAAAAAATGTCATTTTTGTCAATAAGCTAGTATACAATTTAGTACACTTGAAGTCAAAAAATGGCCTCAACTTGAAATAACAAGAAAAGCAGGCTTCTAAGCTCCAGCCTATGGCTTCTAATCTATGAGCTACAACGCTTTAATGTTGTGAGAAATTATCTTGTCAACAAAGACAGGAAGTTCATGGATAAGTGACTAGGGCCACTTTCTTTCTTTTGGGAAATCTACTCAGTGATTTTAGTTATAATAATTTATTAAATTTGGAGATTTAGGCATTGGCTATTAGAAACAGCACTGGGAAAACCCTGATGCAAAGTTTAAAAACAAATGGGTGGGAGAGTTGACAGTCAACTCTTATGTATAATTAAGCTCTCCTGTCACAGTGAAAGCAATTAGATAATTTCTATGTCACTGATATTCTAGTTGAGGAAGAACAAAAGAATAACCATAGATGTAATAGCCAAATGTTATGACAGTCAATACTCGGAAAAATTTTTCTTAAACCGAGGATGACAACAAGTAAGATAAAACTGAGTTATTTTCAAAAAGTAGACAAATTTTATTCTGCCCCCTACCACCCCAGCAAGTGCATGGTGGCAGGCAACTCCATTTAAAATGTAGTCAGGGGACACATTTAACTTTCATCTCTAGGGTAAGAGTCTAAAGAAAAGGTATTACATATGGCTGGGGGTGATTCTCTATCAAAATAAATACCAATTATTTTATTTCCAGAGAAATAATTTTGTTTTTTTTTGTTTTTTTTTTTTTTTTTTTTTTTTTTTTTTTTGAGAAAGAAATTGTTAACCACTGGAAATCACTTATGCCAAATTTGGTTACAGGAAATTTTATTTTCTTTTTTCATACTCAAAGCAGATATTTCACTTAAAAAATAAATACTTGAAAGCGTAAATAACTTCATTCAATTAGTGGAACAATTCAAATTACATTTAGGAACTACCATCATGGAACTGAAAAGTCTGTTCAACTAAGAAGCAAAAAAATAAAAAATAAAAATTGCCTAATTACCTCAGTTCAGATTGTTGCCCACCTGACATAAGGAAATGATTACATTAGTGAGAAAAATGAACCCTAGACAGTTAAAAATAGACAGTAATTGCACCTCGCTGAATAAATTTGTAACTTTCATTCTTATGTTTTTCCAGACAGTTAATTGTGGTATCTTTTTGCTTTTCAACTAATCAAATGTAATGTCAACTACCATAATTTAAGAAAAAGCAAGAACAAATATCAACTTTATCATTTGGTATGCATGGAAAGATGAATGACTGAAGTGTAAATTTATTCAAATCACTGTTGCTTGGCTCATTGTGTGAAGAGCCCCCTACAGCTCTGCACACTTTTCCATAGCACACCAGCTGTACCAAAGAAAGGGAGTCCAAAACGCTGAGGATCATGTAAGGGGAGGTCACTGGAGGCAGCGGCCACTGGAACTTCCCCCTAGTTTACAATCAAGCTTCTAAAACACTTTGTGTGATTACTGAACAGTACTCTTTGGTCATATCGTTAGTGTAGAATGCTTTAGAAGATCAATGGGTAAAATACGTAAGTTTCTGTGGTATCAGTTATTGTGAAAAACAAGCTTTTGTTACAATTTGTCCCCACAGAACTACTCTCACTCATCAATTTATATGCAGTGGTGTTTATTTAAAACATTCTTAAGTAATTATCATTCTGTAATATTTATTTTCTATCCCGAGAGAGATGAGATTCAGGCACATTCCACTTTGGCAGACCTCCATTTTCTTTTAAAATGCCCATCCAATGAAATATTTTCCTGAACTCTCAATCAATACCCTAACAGGTTTTCCAAAATAGGCTCAATAATGATCATGTGCTACGGGTTTTTACATTTGTATTATGTTTGGAGCAATGTCGATGATTTATCAGAATAGGAGCAGCTGCACATACAAAGTCTTTGGGTTTGAGAGATTTGTCATGGTCTGCTCTGAGAAGAACTGAATTTGGACAGTGTGTGCATTTTGAAATGTTCATGGTACCACATTAAATTGCTACCAAATAGGAGTAATTACAAAGGATTAAAATAAGCTTCAAATCAAAATTCAAATGAAGCGTAGAGCTTTAAGCAGAAATCAGACAGAAACAGGAATAACAAACTGTTTCCTGTGTCAGGATGGCAGCTTGATGGGGAGAAGGAAAACAAGTTCCTCTGGAGGTGTGTTCACACTAACACGCACGGTCCAAACACATCAGCTTAATTCCTTCCTGTCTGGTCCATCAACATCCTTGCCCCAATCCTGACTTTCCTTACCCAGAACGATCCAAGAAGCACTAATTAGGAAGCAAACCAAGAGCTTTATACAGTTTGATTTCATACAACCCTTACAACAATAAGCAGATTCCAAACCTCTCCATGTTATTTTAATACCAAGAAATTCTATAATACTGCAAATGATAACATGGATCCACAAACTTACCATAAAAAGTCAACTGTCCCCTTGCTACATTTTTTCCTCTGGAATTTTCAGCCACACATTCATATAAGCCAGCATCTTCCTGCTGAAAATTGGGAATTTCAAGAATTCCATTTGACTTGTGTCTTCTGGCTTTCCTTGCTATGGGCTTTCCATCAGCTCTTCGCCAGGCAATAGTTGGTACTGGGCTGATAGCAAGATTAAAAACGTGAATTCAATTATAGAAAACCATATTTTTATTTGAATGTAGGGTAACAACTCCTTTGTTCTTGCTTCTAAACATATAAGCTTTTTAGAGTTTCCTAAATTTCACTCTTTCCTGTATTACCATTATGATTTTAATTATATCTCTATCTCCAGTATTATGCTTTTCTTTAAATCAAATAACTTTATTTTAAATAAGGTAATTGTACCTCCTAGGCACTATCACTCACATGAAAGCAGATTTTTTGTATGCTTCTTATACTTTTCTAATATTTTGTTTTCTAAATCAAACATTAAGATAAAAATACTTAGGCCTATTTGCGGTAGTTTTAAGATGGTTGCAAATCCCTGTACATTTCTCCCTCTGTGATGAGATGTAAGCTTTTCCCCCTTGAGCCTGGTGGGTTCTATGGCTACTTCCACTAATAAAAGAAGTCAGAAGTGAGGAAGCATTGATTTTCAAGGTTGACTTTGAGAAACTGATGGCTTCTACTGTCTTTTTCTTGGAACATTCTCTTTAAGGCTCCAGGGAGAAATCTGAATATCTGAGACAGAGGCTTCCCTGTTGAGGGTCTTGATGAGGTTGGTCTTTCAATGTCCTCAAGACACCAACACTATGAAGGAGAATTTCTGGTGCTCTCTGCATGAGCTCATCAGCCAGCTGTCTACTATGGGGACCTCCAGTGATGCTGCAAGGGAAAAAGTCACCCAGCCAAGCTATGCTTGTAGTCTTTACCCATGAATGGTGAGATATAATAATATGCTATTTGTTCTTTTAAAGTCTTATGTGACAACAGCCACAGGAATAATACAAAATTACACATTTTATGTACAACAGTGCAAGTATCTTATTTTGTGAAATACCCAAATAATGAACAAATGATAGTAGCAGAAATAAGCTCTAAATTCTCGGAGATTCAATGGGTCCTTTGAGGAAACTGGGTTATCCTCCTTATTATAATTTATATATTGAGAACTTTACTAATTTATAGCAGCCCATTTGGAAGATGGTTTGGGGAAATTTTAATTAAAATAGTGAGATGAAGGAAGAAGCAGCTTGTGAGGACTTTACGTACCCTCAAGGCATCTATCATCCTTCTGCCATAACTGTTTAGAACATGTCTTAAATTTCAAGGAGCGCATCACTGAGGCTGAAAATCAATGATTTAGCAAGCTAACCACAGCTTCTAAGATTGTGGCTTCCTGGCAGGGGATACAATTATTTACTTATTTATTTTTTTCACAAAAACACTCACAGAGAAGTAATTAGACTAAAGACTTGCTAATCTTCTATGGGAAACCTGAGCTGGTATTTAAAAATTAAAGCCATCAATTCTACCATATTTGTTTTAAAAGAATTTAAGTTCATTAGACATTTGCTCAGAATGCAGAAAGGGCTCTGTCAAAAGTATATTATGGGTACCTTATATTCAAAGAGGTTTATATTTAATACATGCCTTTACAAACAACTGTACTTAGATGTAGTCTTTCTGTTCTTTGGTGGATGGTGATGTGGTGTTTTAACAGTCAGACAGGCATATCCAAACATTTCTGTGTAGGCTAGAGGAGCCCAATTTGTATCTTTTGTTTTTATCTTAGTGTCATTCAAGCAGCATGAATAGATTTTAATTCATATCCTCTTTTGAAGTGTGAACAGTATAAATTTTTCTCTTTCAGCACAGTTTTTCAATGTGTCACCCTGCAGAGTTTACTGCATATACACCGACTATACCTTCTTTCACCTTTTCCCGAATTGATTTCATATACACATACACATATACAAATAAATATAACTTAAAATATAAAATGCAGCCAAATTATACTACATGTAATCTGTTTTTATCATTTTAGAAATGAATCCTGGGCATTTTCTTTGTATTACATGCTATTTTACAACTTGACTTTTAGTGTCTGTTCAGTGTTCAATCCTATAGCTATGTTGTAATTTATTTAATGAAGCAAGTTTTCAGGACATTAAAAAAAAACTACCATTGTAGTGTTTGGGATGAAGGTAAAGATTTACTATAGTTCTTAGAGCCATGATTTAAAAGCATATGGAAGCCAAATTAATTCTATAAGTTGAAAATAAAATGAAAAAAAAAGCAACACTTTCTATGGTTTATTGTAAAATGTAGCACAAAAATCGTTAAAAAATTATAGCATGCAGTTTTAAGTGCTGGGCAAGAGTTAGTGCTGTTGCCTTAGTCAATATTTAGGCACAGGAAAAAAGATAAGGAGTTAGTAATGAGCAGCCAGATAGATTGGTCTGGGAATAGAGACTGACACATAAAATTAAAATCCATAGAAAATCTAAAAAGTCTCACTTTGGATGACAGTTTATGGTATGGTTGCCAGACCATTTCTGCTGTTTACTAGCACATAAAATCCCCAAGTGATCTGCATTTCATTGTCTTTATGCTGTGACAGATACTCTATGGAAAAGCTAACTGGCTCCTAAAGTAAACTCTCCAAAGAGTAATCCAGACTAAAAAATCATTATGTGAATAATTTTCAGATGAGTTTGTAAAACAGAGACTCTCTTAGAAGACATCACATCTTATCTATCTCTAGCCAGAGGAGAAGGGAATCCAAAGGAGGGAGAAGAGTCTGGCAATTTAGAATGAAATTCCTGAAAAGTTTGATGTATCCTCTTTGGAATGTAGCCCGAATAAAAGTACATATTTTTCCAAATAGCTTGCCTGTCCTTCAAATGAAGGTCATTGTGTTCTTGTCATTTTGGGTTAGACAACACGCACATTATAGGTCTTAGTAACAGAACAAAATGCTTTTGCAGAATCGCCTATTCTCTTCCCTTTCGTAGTGTGGCCACTGTGGCAGCCCAGTCCTTTTATCTTTTCATGCCTCTCCCCATAGCAAGGGGGTAGAACCAAAGATAGACACACAAACAAGGAGCTGGCTTTGCTGGCTTTTTGATCACCTCTGTGAATGGTGGAAGGAGAACTGGACACCTGTGCAAGCCGAAGGAAAAGCCAGGAGGATGAGAGAAGCCAGCACTTACTTTCCTAAAGCAAAGCACTCCAGCTTGACCGTTGCTCCTTTGGCAGTAGGGACTGTTTCTGGAAAATGGACTTCTATTTTGGGTTCATATTCGCCCATCACTCCTGTGAATAAACAAAGGTGCAGTTTCAGAGATTCTTTCAAAATGCACATGTTTTTATGGTAATGTAGGACATCCCTATATATCATTATGTGCACAATTAATTCCTTCATTTAAAGCAGGTCCTGTCTCTAACAGCCATGAAATTGTGGCTCTTCTCCCAGTTACTGGTAGACAAAATTTGTATCAGAGTGCTGCACCATCTGCCTTGGATTTAATTTTCCATGCATAGTACTTGGCTTCTCACAAATACATTTTTATGGTAGTCACATGGGGGGAAAGGCTGATTAAAGTCCTAGGCCCTCGGAAAATAATTTTTGTGGAAACACAATGCATAAAAAATAAAATATTTAAGAAAATATAGTTTTAAAAATACTTGCATTCTTTGTTATCTATATAAGAAACAATTTTTCTGATTCTTTCTATGGCCACAATTTGTATTTTCATTTCCAAAGCCAATCTGAATTTATCATGAATTAATACATGCAAAGTAACATCAAAAGCTTCCACTTTTACCATATTCTGAACAGTAAAAACTAAGAAGTACTATGAAAAATAACATTTAAATTATACCTGCCTTCCCAATGGTTTACTTAGGTTAGAATCATATTCTCTCTTTTCTGTGGACTGTACCATTATAAGCAAAGTAACAACTTAACAACTGAAGTCCATAATTTATAAATAAATGTTTATCAACTTATTCTTATCTACCACTACTCTAACTTTTTATTATATTTATTTCTATTCAATTCCTGGTCATTTTCTATGATTTCGAATTCAATCTGCTAATATAAAATTTAGAATTATCTCATTTTCTACACAAATTTCCATTTCATCTCTTAAGGTTTCTTAGAGTTAGAGAAAAGGACAAAGAGATTACAAACAAAGAATGTATAGGAACAGGAGCAGTAATAAGGACAGATGATTTCGCTCATTTGCAGGCCCTTTTTATTTATTATTTTAGAGACTGACAAGCATCAGGAGGATTTATTCAATCTGTTGGAGGAAAAAGTGTCAGGTACTTAGAATGTAGCTAGGTTTGCTATCTGGTATTTGATCAGAAGTGCAAACTTGAACAAAGCTAAGATTGTTGTTGTTTTTCCTCTTTCCCCAAATTCAAGGCACTACTCTTTTTGGAAGAGACTTTGAGATTATTTTGTCCTGTGTCCTTAATCTTAGCATTCATGATGTACACTTTACAAAGAGAGCATCCATGGCTAGCATCCTATTGAAGTAACACTTAAAAGAATAAAACCACAGTTTGAAATTACTGTACTTTTAGAAGCAAGGATATAAGCTCAAAGGGGTCAGTCAGTATGTTTTTAATCTCACAAAAAACTACATAGTTACTGTTCAAGGTTCAACCTCAGACCTGATTTCTCATCTTAAACTCTTTACTATGACCTTTCACCACTGCAACAAGTAATACTAAACAACTAAACTAAAACACTAAATCTAGGATTGGCCTGTTCACATATGAAGTCATTCCTCCTTTTGAGGTCAGTCTGCCTTCTAGGTTCTCTTGCACCCAAGTCTGAGTGTGGCCCTTTCTGAGCATCTGCACCAAGGTGGCCTGGCAGTACTGCGGTGTATACTAACAACAGCATTCACACAGCTGCTGAACTTGCTAACAAACAGCCCCTAGCGTTGAATCATCATCCCATAAATATCAATAGTATGACTTGGAGCACAGTGAACAAGGTAACCCTTCTAGTGCTGTTGCTGCATATCCTGCAAGCAGTGGAGAGAGAGAGAGAAAGAGAGAGGAGAGAGAGGAGAGAGAGAGAAAGAGAGAGAGAGAGAGAGAGAGAGAGAGAGAGAGAGAGAGAGAGAGAGAGGTCTTTTGTCCTCCCAGGAAATCAAGAGAGTCTGCATTGCAGTGTTTCATCATGCGTTGGACAAAGATGAGACAAAAGGATAAAATTACCAGGAACAAGGACGTCTTAGAAGTGACCCGGATTTTCTCTGGCCGCCTTTTCTCTATAAGCATCACATATAACCTGTACTTCTTTAATCTAGCTATGAAAATTACACCAAAGAGGGGTCTGTGTGTGTGTGTGTGGCGGGGGTGGTAGAGAGGTAAAAGAAGGGGCAGTAAAGACACAATATGTGTAAGTACTAGTACCCTTCACTGAATATTCTTATATAGTATTCCAAAATACACTAATAAAAACACTTTTTAAAAAGAAGTACATATATCTCACACAACCTTGTCCCAAGGAGCTAAAATATCACATTATTGTAGGCTCAAGGTCCCAGAGCCCTGAATTCTTATCTCCTAGCCTACAATCCTCTCTATTAAAATGTGGACTGGAAGTTGACTATTCAATGAGCATTTTTTTTTAACCAACTTGCTTCTGCCTTCTCTTGTGCTCTGTACACCAGACTCTCTAGCTTATAGTGGTCATATAATGACCACCAAGTACTAAAACCTCTCCTGCCTCATTTCTTACTGTTTCCATGAATTTTTTAAAACAAATTTCTGAAGATATAACTTATATACCTGAGGTTCATCAATTTTAAATTATACAATTCAATGATTTTTTAACAAGTCAACTCAGTCATGCGTCCATCAACTGAATTGTATAATGTTCCCATCACCCTGGTGAGACCTTTTATGCTCAGTTATAGTCAGTTCTCAATCCAGTCCCAGCTCTGGAAGATCTCTAATCTGCTTTCAGTCTCTATACATTTGCCTCTTGTGTATATTTCATATATATAGAATCGTGCATCTGTATGTTTGTGTCTGGCTTCATTTGTTTTTCACGTTTGCAGGGTTTATCTACATCGCAGTCTGTGCCAGTAAGTCCATTCCTATTTATTGCACGGAACACTCCACTGTATAGATATACCACATTTTACTTATCTACCATCTGGTGGTACTAGTTGACTGGGAATGTTGTAATAAAATACAATAAATGAGGTGTTTTTAAAAAAGAAATTTATTCTTAGAGTTCTGGAGGCTACAAAGAAAGAGTTGAAATGGCCAGGCTCTGTCAAAAATTCAAGGAGTTTATGACTTCCTGGATTCTTCCTAAATTCTGGTGTTGCTGTTAATTCGTGTTCCTTGGTTTGAAGTTGGGTCATTCCAATCTCTGCCTCCACTGTCACATGAGAGTCTGTGTGTCCTCCAAAGACACCAGTCATATTTTACAGGGTCCACCTTACTCAGCTTTGACCTAATCTCAACTATCACATTCACATTGACTCTTGTTTCAAGTAAGCGATTCTGAGGCACTGGATGGTGGAGTTTCACCAGATTGTTGCAGGGACACAATTCAACACCACCTGATGGGTATTTGGGTTGCTTCTACTTTTAGCTATTACCAACAACACTTCTGTATGGACTTTTTCACTTTTCTTAAAGTTTCCAAGAATTTTCTATGGGTGACTCTGTCTAATGCTTCAATTCTCAGCCCTAATAATACCATATTAGAGTGATATTTTCTGATCATCCTATGTAAAACAGGGCTCTACCTTTATTCTCCACTGACATCTTGCTTCTTTCATGTTACTTATCACAATTTGTGATGCTCTTGTGTTTAGTAGCTTTTATCTATCTAGATGGTAAAAATATAAAACATCAAGTAATGTTTCTTTTTCATAACTGCATTATTATTCACTTCTCTTTCAGTTTCATCACACAATAGATGTTCAGTAAATAACTAATGGCATGAAACAGTTTACAAACTTTAGAACACCTCAAAGTGCAGTTCTGATTTCTGTCATCTTTAGAGTTGTTTATAATCATGGCATCTCTTCTGTTGTACTTTTTACCTTCTTTGGAACGGAAATTTTCTTGATTATTTTTTTTCTATGTCTTTCACAAATCATAGTTTGGTAGCAAGTGCTCTAAGTAGAAATGTATACCAAATAGGAAAGCATATACAAATGGAGAATTTTATACTGTGATCCACAAAAATTATTAAGTTAAGCATGAATTTTTTCTAGGTATGGAAGTCATTTACTAAGTGTCATTGTGTTTTCTGGGACAAAGTAGCTACTGAAGATAATCTTTTACTAAAAAAAATGATACAGGTCGTTTATCTTGTCATATGGAATTATTTCTTTATTTGTCTTAGCAAAAAGTCTGAGAATGATAATTTCTTGGTTGATACAGTAATCAGAATTTGTGGCTATAAGAATGCAAGCAAGCATTATCAGTACTGCATACACGGATCTACATACACGGCAGTAGCTATGGCACATAAAGATATGGATCAGAAAAGGAAAACCATCATTTTTACTGCCATTTAAAGAATTCTCATTGTATATAAGATCATAAAAATGAGGGAAGTCATTTTCTTCAATTATAGTATAAACAATTTTTGGAAACACCTGCAAGCTATCTATTTAATTTGTTATAGCAGTATAAGCTATTATTAGTTATTTCTTTCATTTAAACTATTTTGGCCTTTATTTTCTGCACTACATTTAAAAGCTATTGGTATTTTGTTTTGCTTTTTAAGGTTCCTTAGAACAGGAGCACATTTTTAAAGTCATTCTTGTCACCGCCTGGACACTTTGGAACTTAATTAGTATACAGATGCTGTGGTGATTTATAGGATCATTAGGTTACAACAGCAAGCCCATCCATAGAATTGATCTAACCTTTTCTCCATCTTCAAAATTTTCAAATATAAAAAGAATGTAAAAGTTTAAGCATATTTATGAACCAAAATAAAGAAGTAAGCAGTGCATATAATATATGCTGGTTCAACAAGGAAATATATTCTCAGTCATACTACTTTTCTAGCATGGACTATATGATTTGCCCACAAAGACAATTTTTGCTTTCAATTTTTTTTTTTTTTACCAGAGATTGAACTCATGACCTCACACTTGCCAGGCAGGCACTTGTGCCACTAAGCTAAATCCTGGGCCCCTTGCTTCCAATTTTAAATTATATCTATAATTTTGGAATTAAGTTTTAAAAAATCTTAATCACTAAAGTGAATTGTCAATATTTTCTGTTATTTGGAGTAAGAGGCACTTTAAAAATAG